AGATACATAAAATATTATTTTATTTGAACTAAATTGACCTTTAAAACTACTAAAAATATATGTTATTTCTAATTGAAATATTATTAAAATATATGCAAAATACAATTGAATCATATTTATAATACACTGAAAATGGGCTTTAAATATACTTAAATATATATAATAACACGAAATAAAATTATCCTGAAATTAAGTAGAAATTAATGACATAAAATTTGCACTTAAAATATACTTAAAGAGGCAAAATTTAAGGGTGTTTTATGAGCTTTTTACATATTAAATACAGTATATTTAAACATAATTTTAGCATTATTTATGGATATAAATATCTTACATAAAATATACTAAAATTATATTTAATTTATACTTATAATATACATGATTATATAGTTAAATATTCTTAAAATTCAGTATATTTTCAGTATATTTTCAGTATGCGATTTTTCTTACTGGGAATTAGGATTAGAATTATGGTTAGGGAATTAGAATTAGTGTTAAGATTAGAATTGTAGTTAGTGAATTAGGATTAGGGTTATAGGGTAAGGTTTAGGTTCGCTGGTATTGTTAAATTTGTTGATGTCATTTTAAAAAGTGAAATTTACAGTTATAAAAGTTATAAATTTTAATTTTTAGTACAGGTAATGTCACCTAGGTGACATCTCCTAGAGAGAAAGTTAGCAAAATTCATAATTTAATATACTAAAGAAAATTTAATAAAAGAAATATTTCTTATGTATAGCAAATATTAATTTTTTTTTTTTCAATTTAATAATAAAAATAATTTATATTTACAATCTAATTAAATAGGTTTATTAAACTTATTATTAAATTCTAACATAAAATTTAACATACATTATATACAATATACAAAATAAAATTAAAAATGTTGTTATGAACAATCAGTAATACAAGAATTTCCAAATAAATTTATCCACCATAATTGTGTATTACTTAGTAATCCCAACAAAGTAAACAGGATTATTATTATAACCCCGCACAGACAAAACCATCCATGAATATATTTATGACCACTAACACTTTTTTCTCCTCTTAGATGCAATATGTAAGCCAACAGGCTATTAATAGTCCAAATAGAACATACCACTATTAAATAAATTTAAAGGTTAATTAACATTAATACTGATGTATAAGATTGATTAATTATAATAAAAATACCTGTAAGATATTTACTGCGGCATGCAAAACCTATTGGTTTAGTAAAGTAGGCCATGAGTACGGCCATCCAAGGCATTAACACCGAGAATGCTGCAGTGAGCATTGTGTGAGCAATTTTAGAATTTAACATATCTTCTTTGAGTTTTTTAACACGAATTCTTTTACTTTCATTTCGTCCATTTTCTTCAACTTTTATTTCCATTATTTCTATTTCATCTTTTTCAGTTCTTTCCTCTTCGCTCTCTTCACTCTCTTCTTCCTTTGGTTCTTCAAAATAAAATTTGTGTCGTGGATCTTTAAAAACGACCCTCCCATTAAAAACCCTCACGCAGATCACTGGAATTGTCCACGCGAGAGCTAATGGGATGTAAGGCCAATCCTTGATGATACAAGGATTTCCCACGGCACCTGTTGCTCTAGCGATCCCTGCGAAAATCCCAACAATTATATAATAAGCTGATGCCAAGCTTGATAATCTGTCCAGCACCGTTGCTTCAGCAATACATTCCCTCATGTATTTCTTTTGATTTGGTGTAAGGTCCAATTCCATCGCATGATGGCCAAAAGGCCTATATAAGATAGTGTTTCCGTTTTGAATAAAACTATCTGATGGGAGCCAATATGCACACATTCCTTTTTCATTAATATTACAAAAGTAGAATAATCCTGAAAAAGGTGAGCCTAATGACCGGAAAATCCATATAAGTTTATTCATTAAACCATTATCCGGTGCAGCTCCTATAGTCGCGATGGCTGGTAGGCAGCCTAAAACGTACTGTGGTATTGGATCTTGTAATTTGAAAATTAGATTTAATAACAAAGTTTCTTCTGCGTCTACCGTTGACGTCATTTTAAGGGAGGTTGAAAACGTACTTGGATGTAAAAAAAAATATATAATATATATAACTTAGAAACAAATGCCTGAATATTTATATATTAAAAAAAAATTTGCTTGTACATGCAAATAATGTATGGCAAAAAATTATATCATGGCCAACTCTATATAAATTTTTTTACTTTATCATTTGTTTACATTTTTCCTTTTATTATTTATTATTTACAGATGAGAAAATTAAATAAAATTTTAATTTTGGGTAACAAAAATGCAAATCATCGACAAAATATTTGGTTTAAATAAAAAAATGCTTCACTTTTTTTTTCAGAAGCAATTATTATTAAATTTACTAATTGACAATTTATATGAAGCACTGTTTACAGTATTTACAACCGTTGAGAAACTATCAGTCGAATGGTTTTAAAATAGGTGAATTTAAGATAGAAACAAACTCCAAAAAAAGAAAAATAAATGCCTCTTTGTCATGTCCCTTAAATTCATCACATTTTTTTTGTCTAACGGATCATTGCATACTGTATGATGTCAAATCAAGTTCAAATACGCCATCATAGTTGTACCAAATCTAAAATTCTTTTAATTGAACTTTTCCTTAGCAAGTAAGTATGAGCATCTGTTCTAAGATTCTATTTTTTTTGTGTATTGCATTAATATGTATTAATATTCTGAAGCAGAGATCAAATTTTGATTGGATATTTTACCTTCATCGGTTTTACAGTATGTTGATAAAAAAAACTTTTTTTAATATTTAAACATCATAAATTCAATAAAGAAAACAACGATCGTGACTTCCGAGATTTAGTGGTTATGTAGTTATAAGATTATTTTCATAGTATGCACATAAACTGCTCCTATTGTTGCTATTAATACATATCCTTTTAGATGAATTTTATTTTTAAAATGGAGCTCTCCGCACAACTTTCTATTTATGGATAGATTTTTATGTTAATTGGTATTTTTACAATAAAGAAAAGAAAGATATCTTATCTTTTATCAACAGTTATGTAATCAATAAAGAAGAAAGAAATACAAAACCTTAATAGATTTCTAATCTGTTTGTTTGATTTTTATTTAAAAAAAATAAATGTAGATGTCACATGAAAGTTGCGCCCTTTCCATTATTAAACTAACAATAACCATTGATTTTTATGTCATGTAACAAACTGAAATTCCACATGAATGGGTAGATCTGTAGGCCATAATTTTATTTTTGTGTAATTGATTTGATGAAAAAGAATCATTTGTACAAAGTTAACTAAGATTATCGAAGCTCAACCTGGAATATCACAAATGTGGATGATGATGGAATCCTTCTTCTTTTATACGGCATATAATCGTTTTGCTAATACAATTATTAAAAGGTTTGACAGCAAATTTAACATAAGCAAGTTTAGCATTGGATTATTTTGTTTCTCCTGAAATAGCAATACATAATTGATACATATCATCATGATTCAGCATAGAAGCTTAAACATTCTTTCATTGTTTTCTTTCATCCTGGAATAAGTTCTAATCTAACATGATAATCGAACGGCCAATTAGAAATGAGATTTCCTTCTTGAATATAAGGAACGTTTTCTTCTAATGTGCTTTCACAACAAATTTAACAAACTTGTGCCTTCTTTCCAATGTAATCAATCGTATTAACTAATAAATATTTTGTTTCCGGTTATTTTCTTTGAAATAATCATTGCAATATTATTATTAATAATAAATCTCATTAGAATTGAATCAGAATGCACACTTTCTGTTTCTTCATTTCTTTTGATGCCAAGAGTGTGTCAACGGCAACGCGTAAGAATAAAAAGCTAAAATGAAACCAGGAGAACGTCAGAAAATTGGGCGTAGAGGGGATTGGATACTTAGAAGTTAGAACTGTAGGCAACGGAGTTTAGGGCGGAGGAGGCGAAAATAAAGTAACTTTGTATAGGGCTTGGAATTGATTCTGAAAAAAAATCGAAACTACATCGATTCGATTTCTCACCAATTTTTACATATAAGCTCTAAATGCTGATTGTTTTTATATAAAAAGATTTGATAAATCACTAACCCTGGCACCACAATACCTATAGCACATTTTCCCACTATTAATATAGCCGATAAGCAACTGAAACAAACATGTACTCAGGTACGGCTTTTTGGAAATAATGATTTTTTTAATATCGTTTTATAATAAGAAATAAAATTAAATGATATACTTAGAAAAGATAAAAGTACTAGAGACGGTACCTATTTGGATATTCTTCAAATTTTAATGTTTTAACAGATATAAATTTATTATTCAAATTACTTATGAGTTATGATATAGTCAATTTTATCCAAAGCATTCCGTATTTTAAACATAATCTAAACTAAATTTATTCGTAAGAAGAGTATAATAATAGAATGGTTTTTTAATATTTATAAATATTTGTGTTACATATAAAAATACATTCACATAAAATTAAAATATATAAATATAATTGTATTTACATCACTAATTCACTATGATAAACACAAATCAAAGTTCCTTTATCATACACAATTAGATTTTGTCAATGTTTCGCTCAAATCTTCTTATTTTCAACCTTGATTTATTATCGATTACTTTTACTACTTCATTAAATCTCACCCTAACATTTCGTTTATTATTCTCAACTTGAAAATTATTTTCTCGAAGAGTAGTTCTAACATTTTCTTGTTGGTAGGTATCAAATCTTTGACGATAAGAAATTCTCCTCTCCTCTTTTTTATTAAGATAATCTTGATGTTTTATTACTAAAAGTAAAGGTTTCAATTTCGGTTTATATTCTTGTAGATTACAATTCGAATCAACATTTATAGGATTTAATGAAGTATTTGCATTTTTATGTTGTTGATTCGAAAATGAATCATTAGTAATCGGATTTCTTTTCCCTCCCCGTAGAGATAAAATTGAACAAGAAATTGATTTATGACGAAGCATGCAAATAATTAAAAATGTGATTAAAGAGATTAATGAGATTATTACACAAAAGATTGATCCGAAAATGATAATATCTTGATTATCGTGATATGTAGTAATATGAGATAAAGTTGTAGTTTTGGATACAGAAGTGAAACGAGAAGTTAAAGTGATGTAATCTTGTTCGCGTCGTTTCTTAAGAGAGGTAGTAAACAAATCTTGTAAACGTGTATTAATAATATGTTTAATATCTGAATTAATAACGAACATGATGAAAAATGAAAAAATTATTTTATTCATGTAAACAAAATAAAAAAAGAATAAAGTAAAAGTAAATTGAGATTTGAGAACAGAATAAATCTTGCAATTATTTCTTTTTTTTTTTTTTTATCGAAAATGAGGTTTTTTTTTGTCAGATTTTAGCCCAATATATATATATTAATGCGTAGTAAAGAACAAGAACTGATTGCGTTAATTACATATAACCCTACATAATCATATAATAATATAAAGTTTAATCAATACATATGTATGTTGATGCTTTTTCATTGTTTTATATAGTAGTTTTTTTTCTTTAAAGTTCTAATGTATTATGATTTAAAAAGTAATAATGTAAAAAGCAGGAGATTATCATTATAACTTTTTTATATGTAAAAGAGTTCTGATTGGTGGGCGAAATCCCTGATGCAATTTTTCAAACTCAATTCCAAGTTCTAACGTAATCAAAATTTATTACTAAGTGTTTCCAGAAAATTAATCTATATTTTAGAACAATAATTAAAACTCCTGCTAAAATTTTTTTTTTTAAGTAATTTTAATTGAACATCACACTCATTTCAGTCTAACCTTATCATTAAAATTGATCAATTAATTTTTTTCCCGCTTTTTTTTATAAGTTGATAAGTGTTACTTAAATTAATCATTAACAAATAGCAAAAAACGCACATAATATATATGTACACTATTTCTTATACACAATTATTATATTGTGAAATAATGTAGGAGTATAAAAATAAATGATGTTAATCATAGGGCAAATGAAAATCTTTATATGGAACATAGGTGAATCACGTATTGAAATGAGTACAAATATAAAAGTTATTTTTAATTGTGGGAAAGATTGAAAGAGGCGAGACCAAAATCATGTTTACTAAAATATAAAATAATATGGAGTAGGATATTCTTAAATTTAGGAGGGATATTCAAGATGTGCGGAACAAAATTATTATTTAGTCTACTATAATAGGAAAGAAATCACGCCACTGTGAAATAAATACAATATTTATAATGATATAAATTTATTAGATACATGAGTTCAAATGAAACTTTTAATGATATTTGTTTGACAATAGTATTATTTACGATGCACCATTAAATTTTGTTTGTTGGCCAGCATAAAGTATTTGATGATCATTTATTTGACTCCTCATCGATCTAACCAATAACATTCGTTTATAAGGGAAAGAATGTAAGATGGTAGCGATATTGTAACCATAATAATCTTATGCCATTAAAATCACAACGCAACATACACTTTGTGTAATTATACGGTTGAGTGTAGATACGAACAAATTTTAATTTCCGATCCATTCACGTTCTATTTATTCTATTCTATTTATTGTTTATTTATTTATTTTAAAATGAAAGTTTCTAAAAAAAAAAATTCGTGTAATTTGATGCGAGTTTTTTAATAGCCCATTCTTGTTACGAGAGAACAATTATTGGAAACAAACCAATTCAAAGTGCTCTCGTAAACAATTCAAATGAACTAAAACAAAAAAAAATACCGTTTATGGAATAAATTTTTTCGCGTGATCAGGAGTAATTTCTTGTACTGAGATCGAGATGTTTAGCTCGTGTAATTTTCAACATTTTTCTTTTTTTCCTTTTACAAAATTTTTTTATATAAATTATCATGAAATTCTCCTTCTACCATTTCTTTAGTATCTCCCTGGAGTACATTCAAAGAGAAGTAATAACTTCATATAATTTATATATAATTCTAGGATTTATATAATTTATATTTTAAACGTATTTATTTATAGCATATAAATACAAAATTTCTCTTTGTCTCTTCTTTTTTACTAAATAATTAATAAAAGATGGCATTAAAGATATCATTAGTTTTATTATTCGTTTTACTTTTATCAAAATCATTGTTCGTTGACTCTTCTCCAATGTTCAAACGTGATGATGATGAAAAATGTGGTATTACTAAAAACTCAAGTACGAATAATTTTATTATTATATCAACATTTATTTATATGTCAAATTATCAAAATGCTAATTAATTATATTTAAAAAGGGGAACCAAAAGGTTTGCCATCTATTCTTAACCCTGCTGCCAAATTTAAATTCTTACTTTATGCTGCGGGAGATCAAATATATAAATGCAACACAACGACTCCTCAAAAATCTTGGGATTTAGGTAATTATAAAGCTAAAGCGTAAAGATTCTTTGAACTTAACACGTCGCGTAATATTAATATATATATCTACGTAATTTTTTTTTTTTTAATAAAGTTGGACCCAAAGCTAAACTTTTTGTTAATCCCCAAAAAGTCGTTGGAGATCATTACTTCCAACCAACTCGTATGTATTATGATGTTGATAACACATATATATTATTATTATTAAAGTGTATTAAATAAATATATATATTATGATTTTTTAATTAGCTGTTAACGGAGGTAGAGCTACTTGGAACTCAACACTTGATTGTGATCATTCTAGTGTTATTGGAAGAATTATTCAAACATATCCTGTTGAACCTGAAAATATTCCATGGCTCTTAATTCAAACAACTGTAAGCATTTATTTATTAATTATTTTTCAATGTATATATTTTTGTAATTGTATTAATTGTAATTAATTTAATTGTAGAAAAATGAAGGTGAAAATGGAGCTTTTAGTGATGTCAAATTTGTAGTTCGTACAAACACTAAAGGTGGCGTTCCTCCCCCAATAGGAGAATGTAAGTTTTATTTATAAAATAATATAATTTTAATAAGAAATTCTATAAATTAAATTCTTTTACTTCTAAAAATAGGCGGAAATAAATATTCCAATAATGAATTATTCAAAAGCTATTATACTACTCAATATTGGTATTATCATTAATTATGATTTATTACACATATAATACTTATACATTCATAGACAATTTTTATGATTTAATATGATACTATGTCGATTTTTCTATTAACTTTTCTAAATTCGTCGACAATGTCCGAATTACCCTAATTTTTTTTAGCTCAGAATCTCATAATATTTTAAATAGACAGTTAGATTACTAATATTTTTTTTTAAATTTAGTTATTTATGGCGTAATTATTTATAAATAGTATATTTCGTCATTTTTTATACTTTTACAATGGGTTTCCGTTTTAAACTCCTTTGACGGTAGATCTTACATTTCTGGTAAAACCGTAAAAATTAAAGCCCCAATTATTAATAAAAGAAATTGCCGCAATATTCTCTTTTCTCGTTTTTATTAACTTAAACCGCTATTCGAATTAAATCAAATGAGTAGCTAAGCCATGCCAAGAATTCGCTTTTTTTTTCACAAGAAAAATTTTTCTATAAATCTCTGTGGAAAATTTTAGTGTTTCGTGAAATAAAAAATCAATTTTTTTTTTTTTTAAAAAAAAAAACAAAAAAAAAAAAAAAAATGATCAAAGTCCCATTATTATTCGTATTCATATTAGTGACATCTTTATATTCACTAAATGAAGCACATTATTTACCTTATCAAAAAATAATTGGTACCAAAACTAGTGAGTCATTATATTTATTTATGAGAAGTATATTTCTTCCTCTTCTAAAAAAATTCTTTTTCTCTATGTAGAACAACCAATTATTGATTTGCCAAAGAATATTACAATTCCGACCGATCGTAATTTTAAATTCGTATTATATGGTCATGGTTATCAAATTTATCAATGCAGTTCCGAAAATAAAACTTGGACATTAGGTAAATATTCGCGTATTAAGTCACGTGTATAATTACATTCTATTGACTATTTACTCACATCGACATGTTTCTTGTAGTTACACCTGTAGCAAATTTAATTAATGATAAAAACACCGAAAAATTCACTCCATATTATTATATTGCCAAACATTATTTCGTAAAAGAACGTAAGTATTATGATTTAAGTATATGATTTAATTACGTTCGAATTTCGAATTACATAAAATAAAATTTTTTATATGTACAGCAATTAATGGAGGACGTCCAACATGGGAATCAATTATAAAAGGTGATAATTCCAAAGTTACAACTAAAATAATAGCTACGAGTGCTTCTCCTGATAACCCAAAGAAAAATGTTCCATGGCTGGTAACTCAAACAACCGCCAATTCTGGTAATGGTGTTTTTGCTGATATTACTCATATAATTCGCGTAAATACAATCAAGGGAATTGCTCCTCCTATTGAAGATTGTGGAGTAAAATATAAAGATAAAGATTTATATTATAGTGAATATTATACTGATTATTGGTTTTATCATTAGAATTATAAATTATTAGTGATCTTATTTATACTATATCCACATGTACATTTTCTGCACTAATATTTTTTTTAATAAACTAATCGCGCAATTTAACAAACATATCTGATATGACTAACGAATACCTTCTTGTGCTACCAATAATGGAGCGTGGCAAAATTGACAAATGTTCTCAGCGAGACTATGATTAATAATTAAATCCGATTAAAAATCTTTTTTTCTTTTGTGTGAGAATTTTTTATGTTGTCCATTGCATCATCATTCAAGTTTCCGTTGTTCTGTGATGATATAATTTTTGATAGTACGAAGGTTTATGTAGTAAAGAAACGCCACAACGGCAACTTCCGAAACTTTCGAATAATGATTTGCAAAATTTCACAAGCACAACAAGCATTAATACTTAATAAATGACCGTCGATCTAACACGGAATGTTTCACAAGATTACCTTTATAAATTTTTTTTTTTAATTTTTTTTTTTCTTCTCTTTAAAATTTGACAATGTCTTCTAGTAATATTCCTACAGGATGTCCCATGCATGAAAAAGCACAAGATTCTCAGAATGAAACATTATATAATAATTCCTTAAAAAATGCTTCTAATAAAAGTTGTCCAATTGTACATTCAGGGGATGCTCTTTCACCAGATAATCAAATGCCACATTTATCTCAAGAACAAGTACCTGGACAACGAATATATCTTCCAACTGAACGTGTTATTTCTTCAATTCCAAAAGCCAAAAGTTCTGATTATTGGGAATATCCTTCTCCGCAACAATTTTATAGTGCTTTAGTTAGGAAAGGCTGGGAAACTCCTGAAGAAAGCATTGAAACTATGGTTGATATACATAACTTTTTGAATGAAAGAGCTTGGAATGAGATTATTAGATGGGAGAAAATGAAAAAGTGGTACGTAATTAATATAATTTAATTGATTTGGTAGGTGATATAATAATCGATTTTGGTTGATATAATTCATTTGATATTTTTTAATAAGAAAATTTGATTTTAATGTAGTCAATATAATATATTCATTCTTTTTCTCTTCTACTATTTGCATATTTAAAAGCAATTGTAATGAACCAAAATTATTACGTTTTAGAGGTCGACCGCAAGAACTTAGCCCAAAAGCTCGAATATTACAATGGGCATCAAAAATATTTCCTTCATTAGGGTAAAAGTTCTATTTTTTTTTTTGTTTTAAGTGTATTAATTATTCCTTCTTAACTTTTCTTATACTTTAATTTTAGCACACCACCACCTTTCGATCGTCATGATTGGACAATTGATAGATGTGGTAGAGAAGTACGTTATGTAATTGATTATTATTCAGCACCTGATGAAGGTGATAATCCTGTATTTTACCTTGACGTACGGCCAGCATTGGACTCTATCGATAGTGTCGTTGATAGGATTAAAGTTGCTACTAAAGAAACGTTTGCGCAACTTAGAGAAAGAGCGAAAGCTGCAAGACAGGAAAATGAGGTCGATAGATCATGATTTAGATTCGCATTATTTGATACGACTTTGAAAATATTTTTTCATAATAGATTGATTAATTTAAAAATTAGTAAATTCTTCCAAAAAATATTAATAAAATATACAAAATGGAGTATACCTAATCATGAGTGTCCTACGCTTACGCTTCGTACAATTATTACGATTATAAATTTAAATAATTTTCTTTCTTTTTCTTAATTGATGAAAAGGCGCGTAAAGTCGGCCGACAAGATATAATCATGTGATCTCTGTAATTAATTTTTCAGCCCTTTATTTTAAACCAATTATATTAAACTCTCAATGACCTTATTAGCCTATTAAGACCAGTTATAAAATTCCAAAATTAGTAAAACTGTAATTTATATTGTTTGTATCACAATAATTACTAGAAAAAAAATTATAAAAAACGCAACTTTTACTGAAACACAATAACAAAAGAAATAATAATAATGAATTTCTTTCATTCTTTCCAGGAATCCAAAAATCTAAATCTTTCATTGTTCTTATATAGCTGTTAGTTTTGTATTAGAAAAATTAGAAAAATAAATATTAACAAAAAATAATTGTTTTAAAATAATTATTTTTTTTTTTTTTTGAATGGCTTACAAAAACAACTATTGGTCACCTGAATATTCAAATAATAACAACCCAAAAGCTTCTTCGATTTCAAAAAAACCTTTTTCCTTTTCAAGAAGTAAATCTTATGATAATAGAAATCAATTTGGGCTATGTACAACCTGTAATAAACCGAATACACATACCGAATGGTGTCAAAAATGTAATTCAGAAAATTTTCGAAAGAAGTTTAAACATTGGACAAGTGGTAATGAATTAATTGATAAATTTATAAAAGATTTTCAATTAAATGCTACTAATAATAGACAAGTATTAGAATGGATTCCATATGATCAATTTCGAAGTTTTAAATTTGTTGCAAGGGGTGGTTTCGCTAAAGTTTATTCTGCCATTTGGAAGGATGGATTTATTAAAAAATGGGATCATGAAAAAGATGATTGGGGAAGAATGAGTAATTGGAAAGTTGCATTAAAAACTATGCAGAATTCTGCCAAATTATCACCGAAATTTTTTGACGAAGTATACTCAATTTTTTAATTTATCTTTTTTTTTTTCTTTATCGCGCATATAATATACTCATTCATTATATCATATCATAGATTAAAGCATGTGTTAAATGTGGAGGAGGATTCGGGTTAATTAGATGTTATGGAATATCGCAAGAACCGGAAACGGGAGATTATATTATAGTGTTATATTATGCGCATCGTGGAAATTTAAGAACTTATTTAGAACAAAATTATGGGGAACTTGATTGGATACAAAAGTTGGGGATATTAAAACAAATTGCTGAAGGATTAAATAAAATTCATCAAGCAGGATTAGTTCACAGGGATTTTCACAGTGGAAATATCCTTCAAGGTAAAAATGCTGAGATAGCAGATTTAGGATTTACTGGACCCGCAGATAAAGAATCTACATCGGAATATAATCGCACAGTTTATGGTGTTTTACCTTATGTTTCACCCGAAGTTTTACGTGGTAAAATTTACACTCCCGCGTCCGATATTTACAGTTTTGGTATTATTATGTGGGAAGTTTCAGAGTGTATCCCTCCATTCAGTGATCGTGCACATGACGGCCTTCTTGCTTTAGATATTTGTCGTGGACTTCGCCCTATCAGTGAAGTCTGTATGCCAAAACCTTTTGTTAAATTAACTAATAGATGCTGGGATGCAAATCCCAAAAAACGTCCCAATGCCCATGAGCTATATGAAACGTTTCATAAATGGTATTGGGATTTAAAAGATGGTGTCGAGAACGAAATAACTGCAGCTTTTAATACCGCTGATTATGATTGTTCTCAATTATCATCTCCAGCATCTAGCAGACCCGTAACTGTAACGCACCCGTTAGCTATTTATACCAGTCGTTTACTGGATTTTACTGATCTTCCTGAACCTATAAATGCTCCATTCAAAAGATTATCGGTTTCAACTACACGTATGTTAAACATAAATTTTAAAAACTTGCCTTAGATTTTATAATATTCATGATAGTTTCATCATTGTATATATATATTTTTAGGTTCGATTGATACAATCACAGGAGAAGAAGGTAAATTTTACTTTAGATATTTTGTCTTAAGTAAAATCAAAATAAAAAATATATTAAATAAAATTTTCTATATATATTATAGAGTATGTGACGCGCCAATTTGAAGAAGATCTTGTATATGGTAATTTTTTTGTTTAACTATAATGTGTGTATGTATCTGTGCTAATTCTTATTCTTTTATTTTAGTTCCCGAAACAGAAACGATATCTGCAGGTAATTAAAAATTTTGCAAAATTTCCCATTTATATCTATGGTATAAAAAGGGGTTACTTATTTTTATTTTATTTAGTTACGTTCGTACCTGAAGAGAAAGATGTGTATATCACGCGTCAATTTGATACCGACCTTCCTTGGGAAGGATCATAAAAAATTTTAAAATTATATTCCTTTATTATAAACATTAATTATTAATATTTATTATAAGATCTAATATTTATTATAACAATATTTGTTAATAATTTTTTTATGACATAACTTAACTAATAGGTTACACATTTTAGAAACATGTGATCAAAAATAAAAATGCATGTGGTATTTTGTATGGGCGATTATATATTTTTTTGTCAATATGTATTCTACCAGTCTAACCACTTTTTCGACAATACCAAATGATTAATTTTTATTGATATTTCCTTTTAATAATGATGAAGAATCATGTTATTATTGTAGAATGAAATATTCTGAAACTTTTTTATTTGAACAAAAATACTGTTTATTCTTATATATATCAAATATAGTACTCCTAATAACAATTTGGGTGTACTTATTATAAGCACAAAGAATTTTTACTCATGTGATGGACACGAACTAAGAAACAAGGATTTTTTTACGCAAAATATTCAAGAATGGTGTTCTTACGGAGTCACCGTGGGAATACCATAGTTTTCACAACGATGTCCTTATAAAATTTTATTATGATTATCCGTTCTTTTTGCTATGGTTACGAGCCAATCATTTAGTCGGTTCGAATATTGAACTCGATCAGATCATCAGAATCAGTAACTGACTCGGGCAAAACAATTAATGAATGATAATCAATCACATGACGTATGTCCTATCAAAATATTGAATAATCGAATACACGTTTATCGAGCATAGATACTCTAATTAGATTAGGGTTAGGAGTCGCAAATTATCACAGTGTGTCACGCCTTCTATGTTTCATTCTTAGCAAAAAAAAAATACTATTTGTCACCTATTATACAACACAGGTCTCTTATACACATCTAGATGTGTATAAGAGACAGGTGCTGGGTTGTAATTAAAAAAATGTAACTAGCCAGTTAGACATAATAAAATGTAATTTGAATAAAAGATTACAAATGACTTTTTGTGAATGACGTTTATCTAAATCATGTGAAACTTACAAATAATTTAACCAAAATTACACAAGATTGATTGTTCAGCCTACAACAAGAACATCAGGAATATCGAGAGTTATTTAAATCGGATTAATTTATAGTCCGAATAAAGTATAAATACATGGGATCATTTTCCCATTTCTCCCCTTCCCTTCTCTTAATTTTTTCTTAAACCTGTATTTAAAAAAAAATTTTAAAAGAAATGAATAAATTTAATCGAAACACGTCCATAAAAATTTTCAAAAATTTATCATCCTCTTTTAACATTATTATAAATATAACAAATAATAATATTAATAATAAATATTTTTTTCATTCTTATACTAAAACGAATTCATCATTATATAATTTATCCCGATTTAAAAATGGAAATGGAAATAATAAAAATATAAATAATAATAATATTTTACAAATTAATATTAATAATAGTAATAAACCATACTTAATTTTTGAGCAACAAAAAAGGTGGCATATTAATCATCATCATCATGGTCATAGAAATGAAGAACATTCGGGTTTGATTGCTGCACTTACTATTTCTGATTCAAGTAAGTTAATTAATTAAAAAATATATATATATATTGTTTTTATGGATTTTAATCAGATATGGTTTTTTTTTTAAATAACAAGAAAGTCGTGGAACAAAAATTACATTGTGGGGACTTGCAAGTAATGTTGGACTAACCGCAGCAAAAGGTGTTGCTGGTGTGTAAGTATATTATTATTTACTTATTTATTTATTTTTATTTATTTAATTAATTTTTTTTGGAATAAAAGGAATAAAAAAAGACTAATATTTTGTTTTTTTTTTGAATTATGCATTAAAAAGGGTAATGAATTCCGCGTCATTAGTAGCCGATGCTGCGCATTCTTTAAGTGGTACGTACTTATTGGTTAAGAATTTAATATGATTTTTCATTAAAATTAATGGTTTTTTTTATATATGTAGATCTAATTAGCGACTTTGTGACATTGTACACTTTTCGAAAATCTAGGCGGTAAATAAATCTTTTTAAAAAATAACCATAAATTTCAAGTTGTTCACATTTGATATTTTTATTTTCAATAATAGCCCTGCAGATGCAACCCATCCTTACGGATATGGTAAATATTAATAAAAAGTTGTCAACTATGAATGTAAAAAATTCATTTTGGTTTTATTATTAGGGAAATATGAATCGATCGGATCATTAGCAGTCTCTTCACTATTAATAGCAGGAGCAATTGGAATTGGTCATCATTCCTACGAATTATTGGTTGAGCTTCTTCCAGTAGAAATACCGACTAATATAAGTGAACTCAACGGTGCCATAAATAGTGCAAATTTACATCCTCTAAATCCCAATGCTGCTTGGTTTGCCGCAGCATCTGTTCTTGTTAAGGAAATATTATTTCGAATCAGTATGTTTAATTTTACTGATAAATTCACTTTTTTTTTTATATTATTAATAATCAAAATTAATTTTTCGACTATAAAAATTTTTTTTTCAATAGCATTAAAAATCGGATTAGAAGAACGATCGGATGTTTTAATAGCCAATGCATGGTAAATAATTGGAATGATTTATTGGTTCTTTTTTTTTTCAAACCAAAAATAAATTTTTTTTAATTGCTAATATTTAATTTTATTTAGGCACCATCGTAGTGACGCAGCTTCAAGTTTGGTAGCCCTTGGAGCAATTGTGGGAAGTTATCTTGGATTTCCATTTCTTGATCCGGTAGGTGGTATCTTAGTAGCAGGAATGATAATGAAAAGTGGATTTGAAATTATGTTAAGTTCATTAAAAGAATTAGCTGATATGAAAGTTGAAGAGGATATTATATGCCAAGTTGAAAAAGCCGTTGAAAAATCAAAGGTAACAAATATATTACTAAATAATTTTCTTTTTACATATAGATATATGTAATATTATATATACTTGTACCTAACATCTAATTTTTTATTTAGGGTACTAATTCAAATATAGTAAATTTTCATAGTATAAGAGGCAGAAAGTCAGGTCCATTTCATTTAATCGATATGGTGTTACAAGTTGATCCCGATATAACTGTATCAAAGGCTCATCACATCGAGGAACAAGTTAGACGAGCTGTTAAGGATGAATGTAAAAGTGTTAAAGAAGTTTTGATGCATTTGGATGTTGAAGATCAACAACCTCATCATTAATTTAATTATTAAACTTTTTTCAGGAATAGTTGTTTAGTGGAAGTTCAAGTAATCAACAAGAATTGTATATAATTATTATATTTATTCAATCTATTCTTGAAAAGTTTCTATATTAAAAATAATATGCTATTAATAATAATGAATGACCCACTTACTTGAAAGATTAATTAATATAATAACGAATCCTGCTTAAGTACTCATACATAAAATTTCCTTATCCATTAACCCCAAAAAACTTCACACCCATGTCATCAGTACTAGTTCCTTGAAATATTTGTGCTACACCTTTTTTCACTAATATATCTAGTGCTTTCATTAAAATTGTTTGATCTAATCCATGAAATTCTATCACCAATTAATAGTAAAATAACATTGTTAATTATGAAAATACAATATGTGAAAATATGAATTATTATATAATTATAATTTAAATTATATTTACCGAACCCCTCAGCAGAATCTCCATGTGCAATTTCATATACTGTTACTATAGAATTAGACATTCCAGTTTCTAATACCTGAAATATTTATATGATAAAAATTAATTTCAAAAAAAAAACATTTTTTAATATAATAATAATAATATAATAATATGGACCCAATTATTAATTAAATTAGCCCAATCTTCTGGTTTCCTCCAGTAAATTATCGCGGAATCTTTTTTAGATGGTGGATCCCATTCTGCTGTTCCTAAATTAATATAAAAATTACAAATAAATAAAACGTATTATAAAACGATATAATAAAAAAAAAGACTCATTAAATCAAAAAAACCTCGGTAAACCATTGTATCGATTATCGCTTGTAATGTATCAAGTTTTAATTTTCCTATTTTTTTTTTNATAAAAAAAAAAAAAAAAAAAAAATTTTACGTCGAATTCCTTGACTATTTAAATTGAATAAATCACTATTTAACGATTCGGATAAATTAAGCCGATATAACTTATGATGTCTATAATATGATAAAATTATTTCTGACCAAAGTGCGGCCTGATTTTGCCATGTTGTTTGAGTTGGTTGTAATCTATTTAAAAAATAAATTCGTATTTATTCGTTTTTTAAAAGTATAAGGAAGTAGAATTTACGTACGTGTAAAACGGAGGAAAGTTATGTATTGAAGGAAAAGAAAAGGAATTTTCGGAATTTTCCATACTTTTAAATGTAAAGCGATTCAATCTAAGTTGAAAAGAAAATTTTTTTTAAATTGACGATCAGAATCGAAAGTGTAAATAGTGTAATCAATAGTGAAAATCACATGAACATGAAATAGATTTTTTTTTTTTTAAGATATATCATATATTTGAAAAAGATCAGTCTTTAACTAGTAAGGAATTTTTTTAATTCTCTTTTCATTAGAATAAAATGATTTATTGTTTTCTTTTAAATTAATAATATGGTCAGAACTCTAAATATATCTTATTTATATTAGGTAAAAAATTGCTTCATATTATATCTCAGTAAATTAAATATTAAAGTTAAAAAAATACCATTAAATTCCTTTTATTGAAGCAAACTATTAGTTAACTAAAAAACAGAAGTATGTAGTTTAAAAACAATTTTTTAGAAATTTGTATAATCAAATAAGTAAATTTCATGTGTATAACTTAATACATAAATTGAATTGTATAAATTGTTTAGAACTCTCATTATATAAGTGAATAAATTTATTTACTATGCTAGTAGTAAATAAATTATATTAATAACTTTATATTACAAATTACAATTATATATATAATTAGTCCCTGTAAAAAATCTGATCCATGTTTTATCTTTCCATATTTTTTCCGTGAATGTATCATTTTAATGGAATTTATAGCCTTAAATCATAGAAATTTTCATCTCGCTAACACGGATATCTGTGAATGTATCATTTTCACAGAATTTTTACGGAATACACAGAGAAGTAATGGAAATATTCAGATAAAATTTTTTATAGGGAGTTATTCTACTTTAATTTATACTATTTAAATTAATTAATATAATAAATGTAATTCATGATTTTTATATATTATTTATAAGAATTTTTTTATGCAAATGCCAAATGATATAAATCTTTTTTTTTCTATATATATGTTGTGCCTCAGATTGATTCTTACCTCAGATCGAAGCTCATGCACTTCAGATTGAAATTGTCACCTGACGCATTTCATTTGAATCATGCAATAAAGTCTGTTATAAGTAAACTTTTTTTCTCATTAATTAAACCACTTTTTGTAATATATTCAAACTTGTCTGCCATAATGAGTTACACGTTTCCTGAAATTTCTATGTAAATCCAATTTATATTGAAGTTTATACTTGTGTTTTATCTGAAAAATTATTAAATTTTAAGTCATTTTCAAATGAAAAGATTTTTATGAGTATGATTCCAACTATTCTGAAATTTTAGGATTGTATACTTAAAATTATGATGAATAAGTTTACTTAGTACTTAAAAATACATTAAAGTTGGAAAATTTGATGTTTAATTATAGCTCATTTTATTAGCAATCGAGGTGTATCAGGTGACAATCTCAATCTGAGGTGCATGAGCTTCAATCTGAGGCAAGAATCGATCTGAGGTACAACATATATATATTAATTTTTTTTATAAATTATAACAAATTACTAATTAAATGTTTATTTTATTTAAAAGATTTTTAAAGTATATATATATTCCAGATTTTTTTAAATAAATTTCAAAATAATATTAAACTTTTAGTTGCTGTAAATTTATTAATCATATGAATATTTTAAATTTTATCTTATAAATAAATGTAATATCTTTAAAGAATATATAGATTTTACTTTATTAATTATAAATTACATTTTAAAAAATGTATTTATTTTACAGTTATATTTTTTAATATTAAGTAAATTTATCTTATAAATTTAACCAATTTTTTTTTATTCTATATAATTTTTATCTTAAAGCTATTATGATTTTTTTTCTTTTTAAATCAATTAATCAATAGAATCACTGGTAAAATTACTAGTAAATTTGAAAAACCATTATTAGAAATAAGCAGAATTTTATAATCTTTATTAAAAGTAAATGAAATCCTATATATAGTGCTTTGATCTGAATGAAAACTTGAATATTTTCATGTGACAATTATGGCTGAGAAAATTATGAATTTCAGATTTAAACAGACTATAATTTAAACCAACATTAAAGTATTATTATCCCAAAATTTTATACTAATTCTGGCCAAACTCATAGTGCCAGCAAAATTTAATAAAATTCAATCCAGATGAAAATCTGGATAAAATCGCTACGGATCGAAGTATTACCTATATATACTATAAAAAAAATAGAATACAGGAAAAAATAAACAGTTTTGAATCAAAAAAGAGAAAAATGATAAAGATGCCGATAAAAATAAAAAAAAAATTTAAAAAGAAAATATGTTTAGAAAAAATAAATAATAAGAATATAAAAATATTTAATTAGAAAATATGAAGATATATTTAAATATGATGAAGAAAAATTAAGAAAAGTAAAAGAAATAAAACATAAAATAAAATTTAAAAATAAGAAATAAATTTATTTAAATAATATAATGATTTATTTAAAAAATTTTGAAAGAATATATGAAATATACAATATGAAGAATAATGTTAGAAAAATTGAAAAGGGAAAATTTATTAATCAAATTAAAGAAATGTAAATTTAGAAGTAGGAAAATTAAATTTTTAGAATATAAAATTGAAATAGTTGGAATAAAACCAGAAAAATATAAAGAAAACAAAATCAGAGATATAAAGAAACTATAAAATGTAAAATAAGTTAGATCATTTGTAATGCTATATTCATATTATAGGAAATTTGTAAAAGATTTTTCAAAGATATCGAACTAATAAAAAAAGAAAAGAAATTTGAATGGAGGAGAAAAACAAGAAAAAGCATTTAAAAAGTTAATAAATTAGTAAAATTACCCAATATTATGACAACCAGATTTTGAAAAAGAATGACAGATATATCAGGAGAAGGAATAGTAAAATATATATTTTTCACAATATCTCAGTATAATATTTAAATAATATATAAGTATAATATAATATATTAAAATATAATTTACTAATGATTAAAGTGACAAGTTTTTTTTTATTCCTTAATTTTGAATATTTAATTAAAATTTTTTTTTTTGCTTATTAATTTATTTTCAATACATTTTACCATAACGATCATCACTACCAAAATTAGGTGAAATTCTGCCTGAAATTTTGTCTAATGCTGGTATAATACTATAGTACTGCTGAGATTCTATTATGATTAACAAAGTCATATTTTGGTAAGTCGATTCGAATTACATAATTTAAAAATATAAACGTAGCTAAAAATAAAAACACTTTTTTTATTGAACGAGAAAGAATATGACAAAACTATTTATGTATTGGACTACCAGAATGGATAACCTAATTTTTACTAGAAAATAAACGTACATTGTTTTGACATGTATTTTAACTTGTAAATGAATATTATTGCATAATGTCTAACGAATATTATACAAACAATACTAAATGTCAATATCTGAAGCGGGGATATTTCATTTAAATGCAATAAAATTTTTTATTTTTTTTTATTTTAAACATATATAAAATTTTTTAAATACAGTAAAATATAAATATACAAATATGAAATTCTTAAAAATTTTTGTTTCTAAATGACATAGTAAATTTATCCGGGTGTTTTTTTTTTCATAATTAACTTAAAAAATAATTAAACTTATATAATTTAGACTTAATTACTTATAACTTTAGTGAAACGGTTTATAGTAAATAATTAATTATAATTAAAAAATAAAAATACAAATGAAAATAAAAATTACAAAAATTGAGAAAAAAATGAGAAAAATGCAGATTTTATATATTGCAATAATGATGATGAAAATTAAGGGAAATTATATTATAATGCTTTTGTCTATTAAAAATTTTGTAAATATATTATATTATTATTTTTTTTTTTTAATTTTTCCGTTTAATGACCATTCATAGAATCATCATAGGTTGGTGGTAAAGAATCAGCAAGGGGAATAGGTATATGGGAAAAGATACTATGATAAGAAGGTAATTTGTTCATGTCTTCAATTATGCTTAAAGATTCATCAAAAGAACAACAAGGTGAAGAAAAAGTAGATGAATTAGATGAAACTGGTGAACCACATCGAGATAAAGAGGGATCAAAAATATCATCATCTGAAAAATAATTTTCATGATAAGCGGGTAAATACAAACTATCATTATTAAGAGTGATTATTATTGGTAAACTAGCTCTTAATTCATAGTTCAGTTCACTTTTTTGATTATATAAAGTTACAAAAAATCTTAATTTATGCCTAATACGAATCACATCATTTTGTGAATCATAAAGACAATGTGGTAACTCATTTGGAACTAATGCTTCCATGGAAAGATTCCAAGTGTCTTCATGCGGAGAAGGATTTTTTCGAATAATAGTTTCTATTTCCTTTGAATCGGTTTTTTGATTTTGACCAATTGTATAGGTGGCATATTCTCTAAATACACATATGATTTCACGAATTTTAAGATCATTGTCTAATGATCTTAAATTAATCGTTAATGGAATTTTTTCACCGAGACTAAAAATTTTTGCACCAGCGGAAAATTCGTATTCAATCTTATCACTCCAAGTATTCGCCATGGTTACAGATTGAGTGAATTCCATTGAACTCGGTAATATACTTCTCATTATAGTAACATTCCTTTTAGCGCGTAAATTAAGAGCAAAAGTATTTCTTTCTGCTACCGCTTTTAAACTATAATTTAAACTTCCATGAGGACATCCTTCAATCGTCTCAGGTAAAGTACCTGGGAGTATCAATTCAAAATCCCAATGATAATTGTTGGGATTTAGCACGTGACATTGCTTTCCTGCTGGTAAGAAGGTCCAATCGTGTTGAAATATAATTTTTTCTTCGCTATGATGATATTGACCTTTTCCTATACCTTTAAAAAGAATAAGAGTTATTAGTAACAAATTTTAACGAAACTTGCGAATATTGACCCAAAAAAAAAAAAAATGAAATGAAATGAAAAAAAATGAAAAACTGATATATTTACCATCAACCCAGCCAACTTTAGATTTTCCTTGAAAAGTCAATCTTATTTCTTTGAATTTTGTTTGTTCAGTTATGAACAAAACAAGTTGACCACGGAGGACACAGCCAACAGATTCCGCTTTCGATCCACGCATTATCAAAGAATCATCATCTAAACGTATTTGAAATAAAGGTGTAGCTTTAAAGTGTACCATTTATTTAATGATTATATATAACGTGATTTGTTGTAATCGAGTCAATTGATGTTTTTAATTAAGGTTAAAAAGTTAAAAAGAAGATAAAAAGTTTTTTCAGGGAAATTTTTTTTTTTTTCCGAAAAAGAAAAAAAAGTGAATATTTATATGATTTTTTTTATATACAATTATTTTAATCGGCTCATAATTTATTTAGCCTATTTTAATATATTCTATTGTTTAATACTGTGATATCACTTTTCACATGACCAAATTTTTAAATTAAGTAGTTTTGCGCATTTGCGCAGCGTTATACCAGAAACTAAGTCCAAATTCCAGAAATTTCCTCATATAGTAATGAATTGTACTTTTTACAATTACCTTAAACTATTCTTCTTTTAATATAATTCCATGCATAAACATCTAATCATATTAGATAATAAAAAAATTTTTTATGATATAATGTATAATGTAATGTAGTGTAATTCCATGTAATATCCTATTGCATCGGCCACTTTGAACTTAAACCCGAGGCTAAAATTATACATATATATACATATATATACATATATATATTTATGAAAACCGAAAAAAAAAATTAAAATAACAAAATAACTAAAATAAAAGGCCATAAACCCGAAATACACAATAATTCTTTTCGCAATAAATAAATAGTCATTATATTTTGGCTTCAAAATTGAACCTGACCATGACTCAAGTTTCACTACCTAAGGTCATATTACCCATGAACTTTACATTCTTCTAGCATTCTATTTTCTGAGGAATCATACGATCATATTATTTACTTTTTCACAAACTTAATTTGTACAACGTACGAAAAAAAAAGAAAAAAAAAAAAAATGACATTATAGTGAGATGATTATTTTTAAAACAATCAGATAATTTTTTTTTTGCATTTTATTAAATGAATTTTCAATAAAAAAAAAGAACACAAGAAGATTTTCAATTGTTTTATACTTTAAAGATTATTTATGACAAAATTGTTTTTATTAAGGCTTAAATTTGGCGTTAATTCCTTAATATCACATAAATTTATCACTTATGCACAAATAAGATCAGGAGATTGCTTATTTGTTTGTGGGGTAATTTTACCATTTTTGCCGATGTAACATTAGATATTTTGAGGGGATGAATTCTTTTAAAGAAAATAAATTAATAAATAAAGTGAAAAAAAAGAATCATAAATATGAATGACTCATTTTTTTTTTATTTTTCAATCGTAAACAAGAATTTAACCAATTAGATACTACATAACACAAACCTCGCATAAATAAAATTCATATAAATAAATAAACGAATATGCATTGCTCCGCTCGTAACATTTCCTTAAAAGTGCGATTTGGCTTTAATAGGTTAAAGTTCTTTGAAACAAAAATAATTTACATTACTGATCAAAACCATCAGTTTATGCATTGAATTTCTCTTTTTTATTTTCAATGGGAAAAAAATAGCTTACGTTATAAGAATCTGGAACTCTTTTATTGGGAATTGAGAAAAAATTGAGAAAAAAAATTTTTTTGAAGCTGAGAAAAAATTTTTTGAAACTGAGAAAAATGTTTTTTGAAACTGCGAAATATTTTTTTTTTTGAAATTGTGAAATATTTTTTTTTTGAATTTGTGGATTATTATTATTATTATTATTTTTTTGAAATTAAGAAATTTAAATTTTCGATTAGTTTTTACATTGCTAAAATTTTTCTACTCTCTTTTGAATTTAGTTTTTTTTTACCTGAAAAATGGGTAAAAGGATTACAATGAAATTCCCTCAAAGAAACTATGGCTACACTTTGTTATTTCCTTAATTGGAAATGTTCTTATAATAATTATAATATAAAAAGTATGGCCCCGAGTCTTTGTGTTTACCAATTGCGCAATGTTTATTGATCTTGATGAGATAAGATCAAACGAATCTATTTGATGAAATATTTCTTTGAATGGGACAAATATTTCCATATATAAATAGAATATGAAATTATTATGCAACAAATCCCGGCTTATTACATAAATTTATAATTTTTCTTTCCAATAATAAATCTCCCATCTTACACATGGTGATTTTGCTAATGTTTTTACACGATAACTTAAAATATACGATTTCCCCAACATGAAAGGAATGTATTACAAATTAATTTAATTAATAATTATAATAATGATAAATAATAATAATAACAACAATAATAATAACGGGAGGTGAGAAAATTTTAAGATATTCATGCAGTATGCGAATTTTTGGTAAAAAATTTTTTTTTCTTTATTTTAAAATCTTCTATTTGTCTATATTTGTATCCATTGCTTTTTTCTTTTTCATTGTGTTAATTTAATTTTCGAGGATGACGAGAATAAAATCCTTCTTTTTTTTCTTTTATTTGCCTTTTGGAACAAACAATAAGTAAACTATAATAGATTTTTAATTTTTAATTTGCCATAAAAATGATCAAAAAAAAAATTATTTTTTTTTTCTCGGCCGCTGACAAATATCGTATAACCTTTTAGCCTTTCTTTTTTTTTTTTTTTTTTCTTTAAACAATGACGAAATTAGAAATTCTTATTGTAAAAAAAGTATTGTATCATAAAAAAAATGTAATTGGCATTAAAAAGGCTGGCTGTGGAATTTTGCTAGCCTGTTATAAGTCAATGCATGTGTAACATTCCCCACGGTGGCGGTGACTAAAAAAGAGATTCTCCATCTAGATAATTTTATATACTCTAATAATAATATTCTTTTCAATCACTGATCTGATTTTCCAATGTGTGGGAAAAAATTCTCATGAATATTCATATCATTTTTTAATGCTAGTTTTTCTGCGGATTATATAAATTATATTCGATTATTTCTAAATAAATATATATATTATGCAAGTTTCCAAAAAAAGAATATATTTTACAAATATCATACCGGATGCTGAAAAGTGGGTAATTTCTACATCTATGCTCTTCGCGGACTAGCAAACAAAAGAAATTTTTGATATCAGAGGATCCGGAAAGGAGATTATTTACACGTATTTATCTGATTGCTCAGTGTGGTATCTTATCTAACATTTTCCGAAAGCTTTTTGGCTGTTAGCAAAATAAACCAAGAAAAATCAATAAATGTTCTTTCAATTTGATCAAAATGAATTAATAATTTGATAAAATGAATTAATTTAATAAGTGAAAAAAAAAAAATGCTTCTCAACCGGTATTAATTATTATCATATATAGTTACTTTTATATTGTACTTTTATATCAATATAGGAAGGATCATGATTTTTAAAAATGAAATATCATCATCTCTTATTATCACGCATTATTGATAGAAATTCATTAAATGAAGCATATTGCCGGTTGTTAACTGTTGCTAAATTAATCGAAGAACATTACGGATCAGAATACATCACTCCGAACATTCACCTTTCCCTTCATCTTACTGAATGCTGCCATAATTATGGTCCCTTGTAAGGTCATTCAGGTGTGTATGAAGTGATCGTTATTGAACATGTATTAATCGTGATTACAGCATATTTTATAAATGATCAATGTGTATTAACATATAAGTTATTGTAATCAAAATTAATGTACTTATATATTTTATTTTGTTTTCTGATGGTAGTAGGCAGTTAACATTAACAATCTTAATGTCTAAAAAAGAGGGCTATATTTTTATATATCATAAAATAAGGTTATATCATCCTTATTTTATTCAGTATTATACATCACTTTGAATTATTTTAATCAATTAAATTGAATATATATAATTTTTGAATTTTATATTCTTTGATTTTTTTATAAATTAAAAATAAACCCTTATTATATATCATTATAAAGTATTTTCATTTTTATAAAAAAGGTTAAATACATTTTATATACATTTTTTTATTTATTTAAAATCTTTTAATGGTTAAATATTTTTTAAATTTAAAGTTAAAATTATATATTATTAATTTTTGTTTTTATAAGTATCCTAACCATAATCCAGATTTCAGAAAATATAACTTTATATTTCCTACCATTATATGAGTTTTTATTATTAGTAAATAATATATATATATTTTTTCCATTATTATATTCAAAGGAAGTGGTGGTCCTTATTTAAAGGAAAAATTAAAATATGATAAATAATTTGCACTCTAATAAATAATATATAAAATTTCTATGAATATTATTATATATATTATTTAATAAATTAAATTCATTAGTTTTCATTTAAATTGTTTTTTTTAATAAACTTGCTTATCAAGTATTACTTGGATTGCTTTTTTATTTATGAATATACAGCAAATAGTAAGTTTTTGTTTTTGTATATAATACTTTTTTAAAATCTTTTAATTTTTAATTTTTATTATTTGCTATAGTTTCATTTAAAAAATAATAATTCCTTAAAATATTTCAAGATTTTTAATTCATTTAAGCAATAGTTATTGTAATATATTAGTTTTAAAATATAATAAACTTCTTTTTCTATTTCAGATTTTTCAATTATATAATCATATTTTATTAACATTTTATTCCTTTGTATTTTTGTTTTTAATATCTTTATATTTTTAAATTTTATTAATTTTCCATCTTTTTCTTTTAAGTAATTTTCCAGGACCCCGGATATCTAATATAAAGGTCATAATGGACTTTTGGCCAAAAATACCCTTTTTTGCTTAAACTCAAAAAATCGTTTTTTGTAAATATCTCAGCATCCAGTAATTCAATTTTAATGAACTTTTTTTATTTTGTAGCCCTCATTTAGCTCTACAATTTAAAAAAAAGTTCATCAAAATTGGACTACTGGATGCCGAGATATTTACAAAAAATGATTTTTTGAGCCCCTGAAAAATGGGCCAATCTGCCGAAAGTGTGACTTGATCCCGATCTGCCAACTCTTTCTTGTAGATCCTTGGTCAAAAATTTCGCGAAAGAAATTTTTATTCTTCATATTAACACATCTCTTATTTTACTATTAAAATGCCTCCCAAAGGTAACAAAAAGGCTGGCAATAATCCTAACGGGAGACCTGCCAAGCGACAAGACAA